CAGGTGGGGGAGGCCCAGATCTGCTGCCTCAAGGAAGCTCCTGGGGAGCACGGCACCATTCAGTTTCCCAGGCCCGCTCCGGATCACTGAGCAGAACCTCAGGGAAGGGCCAGGCACCCTGCTAAGTGTGGGAAACACTGCTCTGTGCCTTCTTACCCATCTTCCCTCTATGTCCCCAACCCTGTGGGGAGGGCCCCTGCTCCTCTCATGACTCTGATGACAAAACTGTGGCTCAGGGATATGAAATGCTGGGTCCAGAGGCCACAGTTGGCAAAAGACAAAACGACGATATGCCCAGGTCTGGCCACCTCCCAAGTCCATGTACCACAGGGCCCTGGCCGTGCCCAGGCTGGGAGAGGCGCATGTGAGCCATGCTTTGTGAGTGACTGTGGAGTCAGGCCATTCTGGGGGCTGCCTCATACAGGGACTGCAGGGATGTGCTCAGGCCATGGGGGGCGGGGAGTGTAGCTAGCATGTGAACGCTGCTTCCCTGTCATCAGCCAGCTGTGTGACCTTAAGCAGGTAATAACCCTTCCCAAGTCTCATCCCTCCATCTGTAAAATGGGGGTGGAGGGGGCGATACATCACAGGGTTTTGGGGAGAGATCAAGCTCAGAGCCCAGCTCACTGCCAGCTAAAGGGGGTTTGGCAAGCAGTGACAAGCTGGGAAGGGGACACTCTCTTCTTCAGGGCCCTCCTCCTCCACTCTGGTGTCTCTTCTTTGCCTTTTATTCATTCCCTTTCCTGGAATCCCTAGTCCTTCTAACCTCATCCAAATCCAAGATGCCTGAGAGGGGAACAGGGTGGAGGGGCAGCTGAACATCTCCCCCGGCTTTGCCAGCTCCCCCTTCCCCCTGCCCCTCACCTCATGGCACCAGGTGGGTCAGACCCAGCTGGAGGAGCAAGACTGTTCTTAACACAGAAACAGGGGCTCCCTAAAGAATTCTGAGAAGATGCCTTAAAGGGGAATTCCCTGGCTCTGATGTCATTTCAGTATTTCCTGGGGGAGCTGCACCTGCTGTTATTCTGACGCCTTCTATAAGAGGCTCAGCCTTCACCCTTGATGAGGTGGAAGGCAAGGGCAACTGCCATATGTAGTGCCCAGTCTAAAATCCTTGCACACAAAGCCAGGGGCACTTCGGCAGAGGTCCATTGGGCTTGCTGGATGAGAAAGCCCAGGAGCTGCATCTTGGCCAGACAGTGGCAGCCTGCAGGGTGCAGGTGGTCTGGCTTTCCTCTGTCCTCGGGGCTCTGCTTCTTCCAAACTTGGCCCTGGAGTCAGGGGCCCTGGGGTCAGATCCTGGCTTTGACCTTGACCCTGAAGTCAGAGTGCCCTGGTAATGAAGAACTCCAGGGTCCGAGTCCAATAGATCTGGGTTCAAACCCCAGGTCTGTCAGTCACTAGCTGAGTGACCTTGAGCAAACCCCTGAACTACTCTGAGGCTTCAAATACCTTCCTCCTGGGCTTGTAAGGATGCTTAAGTGAGATTTTAAAGTTTCTGGTATCCAGATGAAGTACAGCTGGTATCCAAGATCCCCCAATACCCTGCCACCCCCACTAAAGGCCGAACTGCGAGACATTAGGGTTATAATCCTGGCTGATGCCGCCCTCTAGTGGCAGGGAGGAGCATTTGACCTCCTCCTGGAAGTGTCTGAACAGTGGTTCGCGGTCCAAAAAAACCGTGACTTCTTACTGGAGTTAGGAATGCTGTATATAATACTACATGAAGGTCCATTTTAAAAACATTTCCAATTCATCCACATCGACAAGTTCTTCGTTTGTTTGCTGTTCTTGAGGCAGGGTCTCTCTCTGCTGCCCAGGCTGAGTGCAGTGGCACGATCACGGCTCACTGCAGTCTCAAAATCCCGGACTCCAGGGATTCTCTCACCTCCCTGCCAAGTATCTAGGACTACATGCATGCCATGCCCAGCTTATTTTTAAAACAAATTTTTTGTGAGAGTACACATGGGGGTCTCACTTTGTTGCCCAGGCTGGTCTCAAACTCCTGGCCTCAAGGGACCCTTCCACCTCCACCTCGCAAAGCGAAGGATTACAGGTGTGAGCCACTGCACCTGGCCAACAAGTTCTTAATATTGATATTTTTTCCCCAAAAATTTCCATGTGAGATTGGCTTGCTGTTACACCTTGAATTTCTCTTTCTTTCTTTCTTTTCTTTCTTTCTTTCCTTCCTTTTTTTCTTCCTTCCTTCCTTCCTTCCTTCCTTCCCTCCCTCCCTCCTTCCCTCCCTCCCTCTCTTCCTTCCTTTCTTTTTTCCTTCTTTTTCTTGAGATGGAGTTTGGCTCTTGTTGCCCAGGTTGGAGTGCAATGGAGTAATCTCTGCTCACTGCAACCTCCACCTCCTGGGTTCAAGCGATTCTCCTGCCTCAGCCTCCTGAGTAGCTGGGATTATAGGCATGCACCACCACACACCCAAACAATTTTGTATTTTTAGTAGAGTCAGGGTTTCTCCATGTTGGTCAGGCTGGTCTCGAACTCCCGACCTCAGGTGACCTGCCCACCTCAGCCTCTCAAAGTGCTGGAATTACAGGCACGAGCCACCATACCCGGCTACACCGTGAATTTCTTACCTACTGGAAAACCCAGCAGCTTCCTCTCCACTGTTTGGAGCCAACGTGGCCCCTTGGCTAAGTCACTTTATTTGGCTGAGGGTTGATGACAGTCGCAAGAATGGCGGGGAGGGTGAGGGGTCTGCTCATCCACCCATGTGGGGCCTTTTTGAAGAGTCTGTTTTGGGTGGTGACCAAGTGCTGAGGCAGCAGCAGCGTGCCCCTTGGCGGTGCCGCCGCCTTCCTGGCTCACACTCCCCCTTCTCCTCCCGGGGATTTAGAGCTCCCACTCATCATTTGGCTGAAGTGTCAAGGATTTCCTTTCCTGGAGGAAATTAACTTGCACTTTACACTTCACACCTATAGAAATTTAATCATCCGCCAGTTGTTGGCATGACAGAGAGATGGCTGCTGGCCCCAATCTCTTCTATAAAATATGGCCTTCCCTGTAAATCTAGGGGGCTGGAGGAGGGGGGCTTTGACCTCAGTAGAGGGCTGGTCCTTCTAAGTGTGCCTCTGGATACAAGCCCTGGAGTCAGTCGGTGGGTAGAAACTGACAACTGGCAGGCATGACCAAGGGAAGAGAAGACTGGCAGCATGCACTGGTGTCCGTCAGGCCACCCAAGGTGTCCCCAAGGCCCCTCCTTCACCTCAGTGGACTGTGGAGCCAGGCGCTGGGGTCCAACCCTGCTCCACCATTGGGTAGCTTTGGGCAGTCATGTAATCATTTAGTTCTTCAATACAACAATATCAGGGCCGGGTGCAGTTTGGGAGGCTGAAGTGGGTGGATCATTTGAGGTCAGGAGTTAGAGACTAGCCTGGTCAACATGGTGAAACCCTCTGTCTCTACTAAGCATACAAAAATTAGCTGGGCATTAATGGCATGTGCCTGTAATCTCAGCTACTCCAGAGGCTGAGGCAGGAGAATCGCTTGAGCCTGGGAGGCAGAGGTTGCGGTGAGCCGAGATCGTGCCACTGCACTCCAGTCCAAGCGACAGAGTGAGAGCCTGTCTCAAACAAAACAAAAACAAAATGAAAAACAATATCGGGTTGTTGACAGCATTAAATAAGTTAATACACTGTGGGAAGTAGAAAAGTTCCTCTTTCAAGTTTCCTTTCTTGTTAAGATTAAATCATAAGTGTGCTAACAGCTCTTTCTTAAGCCCTATCCTATGTAGCTGTTAAATATGCCGTGCTTACAGGCACGTAGTACACTATGTCCTTGTACCAAGATATCTGTGCTGGAGGTGCTCACAGGCATATCCCTGCTCTCCATTGCTTTTACCTGTTTAGAAAAGTTTTAAGTTGTTAGCCAATCGGGTTTTAGTTTAGATTGTGAGGTCTGGCTCCAGCCAGTGGAGATCAGACACAGCAGTAAGGACGACCCCAAATGCATAAGGGATAAATGTGTCTGTTTTCCTTTGTTCATTGTACTCTCTGGCAAAATGGCTAGTGAGAGTACCCTTCCTGCAGTCCAGGAAGTAAAAATTGCCTTGTTGAAAAATCCTTTGTCTCAGTGCTAATTTTTCTTTGCGGCACCGAGCATCTGCTTCCAACATGCACTGAATACAGAAAGCACTCAATAATTGCTACCGTTTCTATTACTGTGATTTCTTTATCATCATCAGGCCTTCATCATCTGTCTCCATGTAAGTGCCACTGTCTCCCTGCTGGCCCCTGCCTCCAGCCTCCCTCTTGTCCATTTTGCACCCAGCAACCACAGGATGCTTTCTAAAGGAGCCCTCTGCGAGGCAAACCTGACCCCTCCTGACCCGACGCCTCCAGAGTGCCTAGGGTCCCCCCAGCCCCAGCCTGGCCCCCGCATCTCCCTGTCTCTCCATCCCTCCCCAAGCTTCCTGTGGGTCCCAGCTCACCCTTTCCCACCCTGGACCTCTGGCAAGCTTCTCTTTGAACTTCACATTCTCGCTTTGGTGTTGCCCTTCTGCAGGGATCATCTCCCGGGATTCCTCTCTTCCAATGGCTCTGTGGTATGGTCTGAAAGTTTGTGTCTCCTTGAAATTCATATGTTGAGACTTAACCCCCAAGGCAATGGTATGAGGAGGTGGTGCCCTTGGGAGGGGATGAGGTCATGAGGGACCCACCCCCCTGAATGGGATTTATGTCATCATAATAGAGGCCCCAGAGGCTGCCCTGTCCTTCCCACCACATGGGCCACAGCAAGAAGAAGCCGTCTGTGAACCAGGAAGCAGGCCCTCACCAAACCTGCTGCCACCTTGATCTTGGACTTCCAGCCTCCAGAGCTATGACAAAGAAACTTCTGTTGTTTCTAAGCCACTCAGTCTGTGACGTTTTGTTCTCGGAGCTGAACAGATTAAGACAAGCTGTGTGCCTTAAGTGTGACTGTGTCACTGCCCGGGTCACTTGGGGTGTCGGGGCAGTGGTGAGTGAAGGTTCTGTCTTCTCTATCGGCAGGTGAGATCCCCAGACACAGAACCAAGGTCTGCCTTCATCCTGGGGTTTTCAGGGCAGAGGCCCAGATCCCACAAAGGTGATGTGCTCAGGAAGCCACAGTGGAGCCCCAGATGCATCATGTGAGTCATGCTGGTGCCACAGGCTTGAATTGGGCTGGAAACAAATAGGCTGGGTGGTGTCCAGTGGTCATTACGTCTGGGCTGTTCTTACTTGGGGCAACGTCTCCATTATCTTGGGGCAGTGCCTCCAACATCTCTTTCCAATTCAGCAACTGCACAACACCTGACTTTTGAAACAGACATTGACATCCCTGCCTAAAGGAGCCAGGACCAACTTGCCTGGAGGATCTGTGCATGGGGGACCCGCCTAGGCTCCCGCGCAGCACACGCTGCAGAGCCAAGCACACAGGAGAGCGCAGGCCCCACTGCCCTCAGACCACACATGCAGCCTCAGCTCACCATGGGCATGTGCCCCCAATCAGACCTCTTTACGCAGCACTTCAGCCTCGTGTCCTCTGCCACACCCATTGTCCCACTCACCCCGCCCTCTCTGCTCACTGGAGCTGCCCGGTGTCCTCACCCCTCTCCTAAGCAAAGAGCCTTCCTCCCCACAACCAACAACTTCGCCTGGAATGAGTTTTCCTTGTCCAACTCTCTACCCATCCCCAAGGCCCAAGGAAGGGGAGGAAGAGGAAGCAGGGGTAGGGGAGTGTTGGATTGTATTGATTATCTATGTTCTAGCCCTTCAAGAGGTGCTTTACATCTGGTCCCTCAAGGACTCTACTCTGTGGGACATTCCTTGGCTAAATTTGTCCTCTAGATGAATTTCTCCCCCACAAGCAGATCCACCAGTCAGGCTTCCCCCATGACCTCCAGGCACCCCTGGAGAAATTTGTCCCCACCCACCCAACCCGAAGACTTGAGTCTTATTCACCAGTGATCAGTGACTCACTCTAAACCGGCGCTAGCCAATATATAGGACGCCAGCAATAGATTCATTTTAAATTTTCCAGGAATCATATTTTTTGAAAGTAAAAAGAAATCGATTATTCAACAAAGCATATCCACAAATGATCATTTAAATATGCATTTAACATAAACAAGTAATTAATGGTTAATTAATGTGGTCCTTTTCTTGTATTTACCTTGTGGGAAGTAGAAAAGTTCATTTTTAAAGTCTTCTTGTTAGAGAATAAGTGTGCTAATAACTTTGTTAAGCCCTATCCTATGCAGCTGTTAGTCCTGCCATGCTTACAGGCACGAGGTACATTCTGTGTCTTTTTATTTTAACCAAGATATCTGTGCTGGACGTTCTCACAGGCATATCCCAGCTCTCCATTGCTTTTACCTGTTTATAAAAGTTTTAAGTTGTTAGCTGATCGCGTTTTAGTTTAGATTGTGAGGTCTGGCTCCCGCCAATGGAGATCGTTCACAGCAGTAAGGGCGACCCCAAATGTGTAAGAAATAAATTTGTGTGTTTTCCTTTGTTCTTTGTACTCTTGCAGCAAGATGGCTAGTGAGAGTACCCTTCCTGCAGTCCAGGAAGTAAAAATTGTGTTGCTGAAAGATCCTTTGTCTCAGTGCTAATTTTTCTTTGCGGCACCGAGCATCTATGTATTTTCAACAATACTGTCTTTGAAATGCGGTGCATATTTGACACTGTGAGCTCATCTCCATGTGAACCAGATACTGTTGGCTGCACCTGCTCAGCAGCCACCGTCCTGAACAGAGCAGCTCTAGACGTTCTGTAACTCCCCTGGATGCAGGGCACAGCTTTCACGTGGGAAGTCTCAGGTTCCTCTTCAGTGAAAGGGCAATGGCGGTAGTAGCTACATCATAGGGCTGTTGGGGAAATTTAAGTGTTCCGTGAATGCTGGCTGCTGCTGGGCATGCGTGTCTGTACGCTCACACCGTGGTGTGTGTTAAGCATTGCCCTTGTCAGGTGAACTATTTTCAAATTGAATTTCCCTTGCTTATTCACTCAACAAGAGTGTATTGCACATCCAGGAATGCCAGGTGCTATTCTACCTGTTGGGTCACAGTGAACAAGATGGACACACTCCTCGCCAGGTGTGGGCCTAACAATGCAGGTTGGTAAGCCTAGAGATTCTGCTCAGCCCCTGCCCTGCACAGCTGCCCTCAGGGCTTCCAGAATTTCGGACTGTGGCCACCTCCTTTCCTGTTGTAATGTGGAGGAAGGTACACTAGGTGGCGCTATTTGGCCACATTCCGCTCTCAGCTCCTGGCTCTCTTCCAGATGCCAGATCTTCAAACTTCCAGAGCCCCAGATTGCCCAAGACCACCAAGACTATTTGAGACTCTACACTCTCCCCAAATTCCTGTCTCACAGACCTCACACCTCCCAATTCTGCACCCCCCACCCTGTGACTTTCCATACACTAGATTTCTAAGTTCTCCAACCATCCCAGACTCCCAGACCCTTAAGACCGAATCCCAGAACGCCCCAGACCCCATAACCTCCAAGCCTCCAAAACTCTCAGAACTAGATCCCCCAGACCCCAGCACCTCCAGCTTCCCAAACCCTGCTCCTCGGGCCCCAAACCGTTTGTCCCTCCTTCCCTCCAGACCCTCAGACCCCTAGACTCTACAAACTGCCCCCATTCTTCAGACCGTTCTAGACTCCGTAGACTCCTAGGAACCATCACAGCCCCGCAGCCCCTCAGTGTCCTAGACCCACAGACCACTAGATCCCTGGGCTCTGCACACAGATATAGACCCCCAGGCATCAGCCCTCCCCAGGCTCCTCAGATTCCCCAGGTCCCCCCACCCCAAGATCCAGAGTTCAAGACCCCTCCCACTTCCCAACAGAGTGGAGCTTAGGGCAGGGGGAGTGGGAACTGACCACTTTCTGAATTGGAAAATAGGCCCCCTGCCTCCACTTGGCAAGGTTCCAGACACGGAAGCTCATGAATGCCACGGCTGTGATGGACACGGTCTTGTACAGATGAGCGAATCCAGGCCCAGATAAGGCGGAACACATGCTCAAGGCTCCCAGCCTGTGAGTAGCAGAAATCCAGACCCGTGATTCCTGGGCTCACAGTAAATACTAAAATGCTGGCCACGATCGGTGCATTGCTATTACTCACTCACGAAAGCACCTGCGGCCTAGCCTCAGCCGAGGCTGACCTCTCGGAGGCCCGACATGGGACCGTTCTATCTTCCGGAGACTGAACGATCAGAACACCACCCAATTTAGCAACATCTGCAAATTTAATTAACCAGCTGTTTATCTTCCTAGCTGAGCGATTAATAAAGGTGTCAGGCAGAACAAGGCCCTATACAGCTCCCTGCCGTGCTCTGAAAATCCCCCTCCTTCTGCTCAAGGGACCTGGCCATTTATCAGAGGGATGGGAGGGACGGGCTTGCAAGGACCAGAATGAAAGGGGAGTGGGGGCACAAAGCAGGGAGTTTCTCGGAGTCGCCACCCAGACATCGTGCCCTTGTTCAGCCACGCAGCCTGTGGGCACCCAACTCCTACGGTGTGCCTGGCACCGTGCTGCAGAGACATTCAGCAAACACAGCACGTGGTTGATCATCTACCAGAGCCGTAAGCAGTAGGAAGGAAAATTCTAAGTGCAAACTGACATGGTCTCTTTCTTTACCGGAATTCATCAGACAGACCACTCACCAACCAGGATCAGCTGTGGTGCCATCACAGGAGAGTGAGTGGTGAACTGTGGACCTGCTGTGTTCAGAGCCGGACACGATTTCAATGAGGAGCCACAGGAAGCTGCAGCCTCTGCTGTCAGTGACACCGTTTTGTTAGTCCTGTACATTCGAACTTCGCAGCTACAATCACCCTAACGTCTCATGGATTCTGGTTTTTCTGGAAGCGTCTCAGATGACAGGAATAGGTCCTGTGCAGCTGCAGCTGGCTGCAGTCAGCATTGCTCATGATCACACTAGGGTGGCATCTGGCCATTCTGTCCCTATAGCTTAAGGAACAGTCTCCTAGACATGTGAAGATGGAGACAGACACACCTGGCCCAACACAGGCCTCTTGCAGGTAAGGAAACAGGGTGAGCTGCAGCATTCAGAGGCGAGCTGGGGCTTGTCCGAGTCCACCCAGTGAGTTTGAAGTGCAGCCACATCTAAATGTCACCCTAGATGCTCTCTCCGGAACAAAACGCTACCCTCAGGCCTCAAAATAATGCCCTACTTCCGCCCTGACCCCAAGCCTGGGCTGTGCTCTGGGCCTGGGCTGCCCACCATGACCCACGTACATCCTGGGGAGCCGGGGGGTGCCTGAGCGGGCGGGACACCGGAATGTATGCTCAGCCTGATAAGAGCGAAATCCCAAGACGCCCCATAGTGTTCTGGAGACTCTGCCTCATCTTCACTCTGCCCACAAAGCTATGGCAGCCTCTTCTTTCTCCAAACTCTCAGGCCGATGCCTTTGCTTTTGAGTTCACTGGGGAAAGAGCAATCAGAGCAAATATGTCAACGGAGCAGCCACGTCTTTCCTGCAGTTGGAATGGACAGACTGTCGGGTCCCTGCCCGAGGCCCTCCCTGCACTCCAGCCCATCCCACCATCTGCCACGCCCCTGGTCTCCCTCCTGTCCCCGCAGCCCCAGCGCCGCCTTGGCCTCCTTGGCTTGTTCTTCCCCTTCTCTTGATCTTAAGAGGATTCTCAGGGCTCCATCTGGGCACTCTTCTCTGTTCTGCCCCCAGGTGAACTCACCCAGGCCATGGCTTTTCAAGTTGTCCGTTAGCAAGTGGCTCCCAAGTGTGTTTCCAGCCCCGGCAGCTCCCAGTGAGGAAGGAGATCCTTAACCACCTTCAGCCTTCTACATTGCATCTCAAAAGGAGAAGTCAGAAGTCAGCCAGAGGAGTTCTAACTCCTGCCAGCTGGTGCCGCTGGCCCAGTTAAGGATAAGACCTCTACTGCTAACCACAATCCCATCTCTAGATCACGGATATGGTATGGTGGAATCTTTCCAAAGGTATTGTTTTACTTAAACAGGATTACACCCCCACCTAAGGCACGTACCCCACGCCTGCTTCATGGACCGAGACCCTTTCACAGGTAGTTTCTGGAGCTGTAAACCTTTAAAAGGGCAGGGACTTTCTTTGTTAGGTGAGCTCGGCTGT